GTAACGAGCCGCGATTCAAAGGGCGGCGGCTGCGGCTTGGAGAGAGAGAGAGAGGGAGAGAGAGAGAGAGAGAGAGAGAGAGAGAGAGAGAGAGGGAGAGAGGGAGAGAGGGAGAGAGAGAGAGGATAGTTGGTCGTGAGAGGAACAGGCTTGGTGACAACTCACGCAGGCGAGGGCCGGGATAAAACAAAAAAAAAAGCATGAACAAAACATTATAGTAAAAACACAACAAAACCAAACCCCTTTCATATTGTTTTTTCAATATTGCAAATCATCCAATCTTGCCAGTTTATTTATTCCACGTTTTCAAAGACGTGAGGCGATTTCTAATTTTAATGTACGGAAGATGTAAATTGACTCGGCTTTGCGTTTTTTACCCGTAACTTTATTTTTTTTGTCAGTTTTTCCTTTTTTTTGGAAGGGGGGGAGGGGCTTGGAAAAATAAAATGAGAGAGTGTAGTCATTAGGGCTTGGCCGCGTCCCGCGTCGTTTCGCGTCCAAGAAGGCGTCGCCGTCGGTTTTGCCGCGCTTTCGGAAAGAGGGGCACCGCCGCCTATAGGAACGCTAGGAACGCCCCGACTCACCGCCTTCGCCGAGTGGCGGCGCGTTGCGGCGCCTTCCACTACGGCCAGCGAACGTGTGTGTTCCACCGCCTTCTTTTATTCTGGCGTCGAGAGGACGAGGAAGATGACGAGAGAGAGAGGGCGCCACCTCATTAACCGACATGATGGGCAAGGGGGGGTGGGGGGAAAGAAGGGTAGGGTGGACCGCGTGTGAAGCCTGTGCTGCTAGGCCCCGCCTTCATTTTGTCGGAACGTCGTAACGACGTTCTGTCACACAGCGTCACACAGAGAGAGAGAGAGAGAGAGAGAGAGAGAGAGAGAGAGAGAGAGAGAGAGAGAGAGAGAGAGAGAGAGAGAGACTGGCACACATACACAACACACACTCACACTTAAACATACACCGACACAGAAGCACGCGCACACGTGCGCGAACAAACGAAAAAGGGGTCGCAGTAAATCAGTCAAACATAATGGCAATAACGAGTTATAAAAATGATGACGACAATGGTAATAAAATAATGGCCAGTGTGTAGTATGGGACCCTTGACTTGCGCAGGAACACACTCACAACAACAACAGTATGCAACACGGCGGCAACAGCGCCTGTAGCCGTGCCGCGGGCCGCGACGCACAGTGGGCCAGAAGACCGGTGGAGGCGGCCAAAACTCTAGACCTGTTTGAGCTCCAGAGTCGCTAAATGGGACTCGAACCGAACGTGTGACCCCACCAATGGATTCCTCGTTCAAAGAGCTTTCCATTGGTGGGGTCACACGTTCGGTTCTAGACGTATTTCACGACTCTGGAGCTCAAAACGCGTCTGGAGTTTTGGCCGCACCGGTCTTCTGGCCCACTATGCGACGGCTCCCCTGCCGCGACATCGCTCTCCTCTTCGCTTTGCTTCGCTTTGCTTCGCTTTGGCCCGTAATGAAGTGAAACAGGCCCCGAGGACCAATGTCCCGGTCCGCCTGGCGTGACATCAGCCACACCACCCCTCACCCACCCCGGCAGCAGCGGAGCCCGACGGAGCCACCCCACCCCACCCCACCCTCCGCAGTGGACACACTGTCGCGTCGCGCGAGTTTCCAAGCCCTCCAAGCGGCAGCAGGGATGCGTTCACTCTCTTTTTCGGTTATCGTCGTCATTGGGCTGCTTTCCTCATCCCGCTTCCGGGAAGGCGCGGAGGAGAGATGGCCGTGATTGGATGGACTGGCCGAGGAGAGGCGAGCTGCAGACTGATTCTATGAGTCGTTTTCGTCGCTCTGTCTCTCTCGCACCTATACGGGACGCCCCATGAGTAGTGAGGGCGACGGAAGCGACTCTCGCGGAATTAGTCTGCTGGGGTCAGCAGCACGGCCCATTTGGCTGACATCACTCCTGCGATGAGCGCCGGCATATCCAGCTCTCTCTCTCCGTCTCTGTGGTGTGTGTGTGTGTGTGCGTGTGTGTGTGTGTGCGCTGCGCCAAAGGGTGCAGCGAAGGGCGTCATGCCGCATCAGTGTTGGTCTGGCAAGTGTCTTGCCTGCATTCGCCACGGCCCTCCAGAGCCCCCCCCCCTCCGCGATCGTCATTGCCACTCTTTCGCGCGCTTTTTTGCATTCCCTCCCGCGCGGCGTGTTTTGATTGACGGCCGGGAAGGACATGATCAAGGCCGTATTGTTGTTGGCGACAACCCTCCGCGGCGCAGACCCATCCATCCGGCCGTGTGGAGTGGGATTTCCTCCCTGAGTTGCGGTTGGATACCGTATTCTAAGCACAAATAATTGAGCAAAGTATTTCAAAACGCATACGTCCACACGTAGAGGACTAGAGATCCCGACGTGCAGGCCTTGAAATGAGCAGTCAGTCAGGCAGGCGGCAGGCCCGCGAGCGATCCGTTTACAGGACTCCCCCAACAAGGCGGTGAGCCGCAGCCTGGGCCGCGGCAGCCCTCGCGGCAGCCCCACCCCCACAACGCGATAAAGGTTTATTATGGATGTAGTTGGCTCCCCATCAGTAACCACCAATTAACGGAGGTACAAACGATCACTGGCCACCACTTTGGCCGGTCGCACCCCGCCCCACCCCACCCCACCCCGCACCGCCCCACCCCACCCCCCCCGCCCCCCCCCGCCCCGCCACGCGGCCGCGTGCAGCGCGCACCGCCAATACAGCCGCCTAACTGGAGGCCGCTTCCGAAACAGCGCTTTCGTCGCTCTATCTCTCTCGCACTCGCGGGGCTTGGCGTGGGGGTGCGAGAGAGGAAAGAGCGCCGTTTGGAGTAGTTCGGAGCGCTGGCGGCGCGTGCGGGGTGCATTGTGCGAGGCTAAGTGGCGCGCCGGCCTAGCGTCGCCTCGCGTCGCCGCGCGTGGGAGTCGGTGGCCGCTTGTATACCGCTTGTGCCGCTTGTGCTGCTTGTGCCGCTTGTGCCGCTTGTGCCGCTTGTGCCGCTTGTGCCGCTTGTGCCGCTTGTGCCGCTTGTGCCGCTTGTGCCGCTTGTCGGCGTCCCAGCCCCCTCTCCGTCTAGATCCCTCCGTCGACGCGGGCCTTTTCCAGCGCCCGCGGGGGCGCCCGCGCCGTCCGCGTGAACCGCCAGGGGTGCCCGTCGACGGGCGAGTGTATGCTCTGCTGGGGAAGTGTCCACTGGGTCTGGTTCAAGGTTCAAGGTAGGGGTTCCAACTTGGGTTCAAGGTAGGGGTCTCAACTCGAGTTCAAGGTAGGGGTTCCAACTCGGGTTCAAAGTGGGGTTCCCAGCTGTTGAACGTACCCAAAAAATGGCCTTTAGCGGTGTATCCTCACCGACCAGACCCACTCAACCGTGCACCCCACTTTCCCTTTCATTCCCACTTTTCCCGTTTGCCGACTGCGCCACTGCCCTTAACACGCTCATCTCCTTATTGGCTCCTAATCCACAGTGGCACTGTATTATTTGCGTTTTGTTTTGCCCCAAGCTCGGCGGCCGCCAACCCCCCATTCCCTCCCCTTTATGCCGAAGAAATACACTTTATCCTGAAAATGTGATTATCCGGGGGCTGGTAAGCCAGCTCGAGCCAGGCCTTGTTCTCGTCGGCTGGCTACCGTGCTGCGCCTCCCTCCCCCTGTCCGGCGGTACTCGGCGGCTCGAGTGTGGGGCATCGGAGGGGCGAGAGAGTCCTCGCCATGCCGTCGGCGCCGTCGCACAGTGGGCCAGAAGACCGGTGGAGGCGGCCAAAACTACGCGTTTTGAGCTCCAGAGTCGCTAAACAGGACTCGAACCGAACGTGTGACCCCACCAATGGATTCCTCGTCCGGAGAGCAATCCATTTAGCGACTCTGGAGCTCAAAACGCGTCTAGAATTTTGGCCGCCTCCGCCGGTTTCTGGCCCACTGTGGACCTTGGGCCTCGGCTCGGACGGCTCGGGGGATCCGTGCCGCCGAACACGGCAGAGCCGGGCAGAGCACCACAAAGCAGTGCAGGGATTAGCCGGCCGTGTCCTACATCCTGGGGCCCGCCAGCCCCGCGCCAGCCAGCCTGCCTTCTTGGTGTCCTCCGGGATCCTCCTTTTCGCGCCTCCACTCTGCTGCACTCTCTCAGAGCTCTCCGTTCGGCCTTTGGCCTGCTTTCACTCCGTCGCCCTAGGGCCCCCGGCTTCTTGGCAAGCACCAAGCAGGAGGCGTATATCTCAATATTGCCCTTCCTCCGGGGCGGAATACCAAGTGTGTGTGTGTGTGTGTGTGTGTGTGTGTGTGCTGGAGCTCACGGGGGCCGCCATTCGAGACTTGTTCATTTTATATTGGTTTGGCTCCTGGCCATGAGGCCCCCAATGCACGAGCCTCGGTGTAGGCATGTGTGAGTGTGTGTGTGTGTGTGTGTGTGTGCGCGCGCGCGTGTGTGTGTGAGCGTCATTGTATGCGGGTTTGGCAGTGCTTTTTGCGGGAGGTGGCGCCTCGCAAAAGGATACCACACACATTGGGCGGGGATTTATTTCTTTATGCATCCGGCATTACATTGTATGATACGCCGCGTTTGGCGCTGCCCCGACCACACACACACACACACACACACACACACACACACACACACACACACACACACACACACACACACACACTCGGGGAATAGCAAGACGTCTTACAATTTCACCATTTGTTTTGAGCAAAATTTCACGAGCCATGTCACTGTACTGTAATGTATTCATTCTGTGACGGTCCGTAAAAATTCTGTTTTTAAAAATAAAATTCTTTTTTGAGGGACGTGCGTATATTTGAAACCCGCAGGCCCCCAGTATGATCATCAACCTCACTAAGCAATACTGGGAGGCTCATGCTTGACGGAGCCGTTGTTGAAAGCCCTTCTTGAACCTGAAGTACGATGCACTGTAAAAAATTCCGTACTTTTGTACGGAAATGGTACAGATAAATACAGTACGGAGGTACTGAGAAAAGTACGGAACGTTCCGTGCTCCATACGAACCCATGTAAATGGGTACGTACGGAAAAAAAAGTACGGAACGTTCCGTAGTTGGCAAGTACGGATGGTCCAGGCAAATTATCGACCAGACATGTTCCGTACTTTTTCCGTACTTTTTTCTCACAGTGTGCGTAACCTCCAATTCCGTTGCCTGAACGTGTCCTCCTCTTTATTATGTCGTCTCCGTCAGAATGCTCATCGGCGTTTTGCCCGTGCGTTGCAGAGGACGACCACTGCCACAGCTCCGCGGCCGCGGCCGCCGCGGCGGTGGCCCAGAGCACGCTGTTCGGCTGCTCGGCGGCGGGCCACTCGGGCATCAACCAGCTCGGCGGCGTGTACGTCAACGGGCGCCCGCTGCCCGACTCCACGCGCCAGAAGATCGTCGAGCTGGCGCACTCCGGCGCCAGGCCCTGCGACATCTCCCGGATCCTGCAGGTGTCCAACGGCTGCGTGTCCAAGATCCTCGGCAGGTGCGTAGCTGGTTAGCGTCGAGGGGAGTGAAAGAGAGAAAAGTGAGGTTAGGACGGCGAACGTTGTAGTTGAGACTGATCAAGGCATGCGAACAGACCATGTCGTGGGGCGAGTCACTGAAAACGATTACTAGTGAGGTCAAAACGGCGAACATCGTTGTTGAGACACCATAAGGCATAGACGCGTTGCGACTGACCACCATAAAGGGGTTACAGTACTGCATCACTGGTGTAAATCAACTCAGAAATTTTCTGATAAACGGTGGATTTTCTGATTACTTGACAAAAAACATCAGATTTTGAGTATTTTCTGATAACATCAATTATTTATCAGAAAGAGGGCATCAGAAATGGTTTTTTCTGATACTTTCATAGGTTATCAGAACAGAGACATCAGAAAAAGAGACCTTTCCGATAAGTCGATCTTATTTCTGATAACTGCCAGTTATCAGAAATATAATCGTCAGAAATGTTTCAGATGTCTGATGTTCCAAAAAATGAGATCCCTGTAAAATAGAAAGTTTACGTAATTTCAGTTTCAAATTTGGTGAGAGTCCTGTTTGCAAGATTTGGCTAGGCCAATTTTTATCTCAATGAGATAGGATCACATTTACTGTCTTTTTGAGAGTTGATGGCGAGCTAGCTCAATTTGGACTGCAGATTTGGATCGGACTTGATTTCGACCCCCCGAAGACGTTTTCCCCGTTTCCGAGTCTCATGTAGATCAAAATATATGTTTACAGAAGAAAATGATTGTTCTGATATATTTCTTTATGAGTCCAGCCGATGTTATCAGAACTAAAGTCATCAGAAAACTGAGGCATCAGACACACAAACATCAGAAATAGGTGTCCGAAAAAACATCAGAACTCAGACATGAGAAATGTTCTGATATGCAAAAGTATCAGAAAATTTCTGAGTTGATTTACACCAGTGATGTAAACAGACTGTCTCGGGGCGAGTTATTGAAATCGACTAGTTCAACAGGCGAAGATGTTGAACTCGGAAATCGGGGTGTTCTTTGAGAGCTGCATGATGACCTCTCCGACCTTTGCAGGTACTACGAGACGGGCTCCATCAAGCCTAGAGCCATCGGGGGCTCCAAGCCCCGAGTGGCCACCTCCTCCGTCGTCAACAAGATCGCGGACTACAAGCGGGAGTGTCCGTCCATCTTCGCGTGGGAGATCCGGGACCGCCTCCTGTCCGAGGCCGTCTGCAACAATGACAACATCCCCAGCGTGAGTACCAACGGGGTCGTTCTCTTTTTTTGCCGTGTTATTTTATTCAACAGGACACCGAGAGCGCTCTGTGTCCGAAGCCAAATGGGTTTGGCAGGTTCGGCATCGGTGCGCATCGGCTTGAGTTTTCTGTTATTCGCTGTGCAATGAAAAAAAAAAAACGGCTCGCCCTTTGGCAGGCCCGGACGGCACGAAGCTTTGATTTGCGAACCTGAATCAGAATCGCGAATCGCGGCCGGCGCAGGCTGGCACAGGCCGGCGCAACTAGCCGATCGGACGGACAAAAGGCTCATTGCGATTGCGGGCCGAACCGCAATGCATCGCCACTGGAGTTGCGTTCCAATTTGACCGCCCTCAGTGCCTTGAGTGCCTTCAGTCAAAAGTCTTCTGCTTCCTCATTCTCTTTTCTTTCTTCTTCTTCTTCTTCTTCTTCTTCTTCTTCTTCTTCTTCTTCTTCTTCTTCTTCTTCTTCTTCTTCTTCTTCTTCCTCTTCTTCTTCATTAATCCCGCTGCGCTATTGTGACACACTTCCATCAACAAATGGTGACATGCGGCCGCACCGCCGCGGGCCACGCAACACACAGTTCGGCTCAGCCGACGACGACGACAACAACAACAACAACAGACGGGCAGACAAACAGGGCGGCGGCGTGCGGTCGCCGGGCGGTCGCGTCCCATCAGGACAGTATCGTTTTTATCGTCGTGTAATAGGGCTGGGATTGCGTCGGTGATTCGCGGAGGGGGGGGGATGCAAGTCCCCGCTATTAGGGGAGGACGTCGTATACACCGTGTCCGTCGCTGCTGTGCAAACACGTCTCGCACCGGCTCGGGCTCGGCCCGGGTCCCCTCGGTTTGCTGTTTACCTACACTGACCCTGAGACGTGGTGAGTGTGCACGCTCGCAGTAACGCCCCGTCTAACCTCCTTTCACTGCTCCTCGTACGAAGAAGCTTCAACTGCCTCCCCGCTTTTCGGCACAGTCCATGACTCGAGCGTGAGCTTGCGCGTGTGCGTGCGTCCCTCGCGTGTGCATCTGCTGAAGCTTGCGGCTTCAGACGTGTCTGTTGTTGTTGTTGTTGCCGCGCTGATCCTCCGTTAGGACACAATGCGTTATGTCGTCATTCAGCGAGGAAGGTGTGCATGATGGCCTGTGTGAAGTGCACACACACGCGCGCTGCACACTCACACACACAAAACCGCCTCTGTGCACAAAAGGCATATAGGAGGGTGTTCCATTAGCGCCGCGGGCTGATACTATGCAAGTCCGTTTCCATGTCCATCCGTCAATGCTTGTCCGTGCCCGCGGCGCCAGTGGCGCCAGTGGCGCCAGCAACGGCCGTCGGCCGGCACGCCCGGTGCACCGCCACGCCATGACCACGCCATGACCGACCACGCCATGACCGACCACGCCATGACCGACCACGCCATGACCGACCACGCCATGACCGACCACGCCATGACCGACCACGCCATGACCACGCCATGACCACGCCATGACCACGCCATGACCACGCCATGACCACGCCATGACCACGCCATGACCACGCCATGACCACGCCATGACCACGCCATGACCACGCCATGACCACGCCATGACCACGCCGAGCCACACGAGGCGCTTCCAGTCCGCGGCCCCTAAATGCATTTCGGAGGAGAGAAAGGTCGGCTGCATGGAGCTGAAAGAGGTATGTGTGTGTGTGTGTGTGTGTATGTGTGTGTGTGTATGTGTGCGCGTGTGTGTGTATGTGTGCGCGCGCGCGTATGTGGTGGCACGCGTGCGTCCCTTCACGGTGGTGAGTCGCGGAGAAATGAAGCAAGGCGCGAGTTGGTGGGAGGCTTAGGCCCGCGCCGCCACGGCCCACCACCCACCGCCACTGCGCCCCGCCCGCCCCGCCCCGGCCGCCATTTTGGGAGGGCGAAACAAGGGTGGCTCCTCTCCTCCAGCGTGGAGCCTCCAGCCTGGAGCCCCGCGTCCCTCCCTCTCCCTCTTACCTTCTTTCTGCGCTAACCCTCAGGCCGCGCTTCATTTCCTTCTTTTTCCCTTTCTCCTTCTCACTCTCTCTCTCTCTCTCTCTCTCTCTCTCTCTCTCTCTCTCTCTCTCTCTCTCTCTCTCTCTCTCTCTCTCTCTCCCCCCCTCTCCTTTTCTTATTTTTTATTTCCCTCGTCGACGGATGCCGCTGGATCCCCCAAAGCAGGGCGCTGGCTGGCCGGGCCCCATCGAAACAAACCACGCCACCGCGAACCACTCCTGTCACCACCCCGCCGCGCCGCCGCTGCCGCCACCACCACCACCACCGCCATGGTGGCGCCCACATACAGGAGCATCGTTTTCTGGGGAACGCGTCGTCGCCGTGGTGACGTGGGTTCAACCACCACCGGCGTCCCTACTTTTTCTTTCTTTGCTTGCTCACTGCGCTGCAGTTGGCAGCAGTGCGTCCGTCAATCGGCGGCGCTGAGGCTGGCGTGCCGGCGTTGCCCGGTCTGCGGTCGCAGCGCGCACCCCCTGCGCCGGGCGGGGCGGGGCGGGCGGGGCGGGGCGGGGCGGGGCGGGGCAGGGCGGGGCGGGGCGGGGCGGGGCGGGGCGGGGGCGGGGGCGGACCCGGCGACCCGTGAGATGAGCGCATCAACAGAACAATCTCGGGCAAACATGTGCCGTAGGACAAGGGGATGGGCGCGGGCCTGATCGCGGCACGGCACGGCACGGCACGGCACGGCACGGCGGGGCGGCAGAGCAGCAGGCACGGCCAACTGGCTTCGACCGCCATCGGCGCCGTCGGCTCCACTGCCGTGCCAGCCGTGCCTTCAGAGCCGTGAGAGCTAGCCGTCGGCTAGCCGTCGGCTCGGGGCCTCCGACCGAGTCGAGTCTCCGACACGTGGAGGCCCGAAGGGGTTCAACCCATCGCAGCCCCTCGCTCTGATCGATGCAGTTTAGCCGCCACCGTCCGGCCGTGCCGTGCCAGGCCAGGCCAGGCCAGACCCGGTCGTGCATGCAGTCATCCTGTACCATCGCACGCCCCGGCCAGCACGCCCAGGCAGGCACTGCTACCAGCTCGACAAAAAATGTTTCCACAGTGCGTCTGTATCGTGGAAAGGTGAGCGTCGAGAAAGGTGTGGTCGGTCTAGCCCTTAATGGCAATGGGCTGCCGAGGGTAGGCAACCCCTCGGGAGGCGTGCGTTGCGGGACGGCCCTCGCTGTCTCTCTCGCACCTGTGCGGGACGCCCCGTGAGTGCGAGCGAGACAGAGCGACGTAAACGACTCTCGCAATGAGTGCTGCATGCAGCCAGGCTGGCCACTTGTTCCTCTTTCCGGTGAATACTAGTTTCCGGCCACGGCCTGCGGGCTGCTTCCGAAAGTCGTTTTCGTCGCTCTGTCTCTCTCGCACTCACGGGGCGTTCCTTATAGGTGCGAGAGGGACAGAGCGACGAAAAAGACTCTCGGAATGGGTCTGCAGTAGGTAATGCGGCCATTCACTGCTGCACGCCGCGTTCTGCGTTCCCGCACTGCGCAGATCTACAGTGTGCGGTGCGGGCCTGCCTCGCTGCGCCTCGCTGTGCTCCGCCTGCATTTACCTCGGCCCCTTTGGCCTGCCGCTTTGATGCTGCAGCCTATCTCTGTCTCTCTCGCACCCCCACGGCGCGCCCCGCGAGTGCGAGAGAGACGGAGCGCGTTCATTACAGGGAGGGGCAGGGCAGTGCGCGCTCATCGCGCGGCAGAATGCACGCAGAATGCACGCAGAATGCACGCAGAATGCACGCAGAATGCACGCAGAATGCACGCAGAATGCACGCAGAATGCACGCAGAATGCACGCAGAATGCTCGCACCTATACAGGGCACCCTATGGGAGCGAGAGAGACAGGGCGAAGGGAAACGACTCTCGGAATGAGTTGGCAGTGGGGCGGACGCGGCGTCGCGGCGCGCTTAGTCCATCTACTCCTGTTGTCCTACAGTCCTACGGTGGAGGGAAGCAGGGAAGCCCCGGCCGGGTTTGCCGTGCTATGCCGTGCTCGGCGTGACTGTCCTGTCCCGTCCGCTCAGTGGGGGGTTCTATCGAGCGTGGCGGCGGGGCGCGCGCGGCGCCGCGGGGGGAGGGGAGGGGGGGAGCCCTCTCACGGACTGAGGCTGAGGCCTCAGCCCGAGCGTTACCCACCTCACCGGCGCACTTGCAGGGCGTCCAAGGGCTCCCGTCGACCCCGGCAACCGCGTCGGCCTTAGCGACAGCCTAAGCGATAATCAGCCAAATCCGCGTCTGGAAACCTCTCCGTTGAGCGTGAAGGACGGCCGGGGCAATCTAAAAATCCAAAAATGGCGGGGAAGCGTTGTTGCCGCCAGCACGCGTCGAGGCACGAGTGAAGCGCCGTCGCCCCGCGGCCCTCCCAGGCCCTCCCAGGGCCTCACGCCGCGGGCCCGGCCACCCCAGCCCTCCCCCAGCCTCACCTTGGTAGGGCCTTGCCTGGGCCTCGGGGGAGGGGCGAGCCAGGGCCGCCGGGGCCGCCGGGGCCGCCGGGGCCAGCGTGGCAAAGACGTGCGTCTGTGCACAGCAAATGCCCCGGCTGGCTGGCCTGGCTCGGCGGGCCGACGCTGCCAGGCACTGCCAGGCCGGGGCGGCGACGCGCCCCACCCCGCGTAACGCGCAACCCGACGCGGTTGGCCTCCCCTCGAAATATCGAATTTGTGTGTTGCTGTGTGGGTGGGGCACCCACAGGGACTCGCACAGGGACCAGAACCAGGACCCAACCCGCCGCCGGGCCTGCGGCTGGGGCAGGCCTGGGCGCCCGCCGAGTCCAGCGTGCCAAGCGACCTGGGGCCGCCGCCGCCAGCGACGGCCAGGCTGGCGACAGGTGATAAACACCGCGCGACACTGCAAAAAAAAAACAAACCATGAACCTGGTTGAAGTCGAGTAAAATGAATTTATTTTATATCAAGGTTACGTTTATGGACCTTCAACAAGAAAAACTTACAGGTGAGCAGTGACTCTTCGACGTGGCTAGGAGAGGGT